GTCATTGTTGTTTGGCAGGTCCGGGCCAGGGATTCAAACCCGCCACCTTAGGTGTACGTGGCTGGCGCCTTAGCTGGTTGAGCTATAGGCGCTGAGCCGATTTCCAGGTTTTTAACCTGAACAACTGGGTGGAGGGTTGTGATATTTATTGAGATGAGAAAATGTGGTAAGGAATATATGTGGGGCAAGGATTGCATGTACTGAGCTTGATATAGGAGGTGCCAGATAAACCTCAAATAGTGGCTTAACTACCCAAGTGCTATAGTCTTAGCTACTCAAGAAGCTGAAGTGGGAAGATCACTTGAGCCCAGGAGTTTGAGTTCAGCCTGGACAACACAGCAAGACCCCATCTGTAAAATAATTAAATAAAAATAATACCCAGTGCTATATTCAAATATAAAGGAAGACTGGAAGCAGGAGTCCAGGGCTGTTACAATAGTTCTATGTGGGCTCGGTACCTGTGCTCAAGTGGCTAAGGCCACTTGGGTTCAAACTCAGGTTGGAATCCAGCCCGGGCCTGCCCAAAACAACAATGACGGCTGCAACAAAAAAATTGCTAAGTGTTGTGGCAGCACCTGTGGTCCCAGCTACTTGGGAGGCTGAGGCAGGAGACTTACTTGAGCCCAGGAGTTGGAGGTTGCTGTGAGCTGTGATGCCATAGCACTCTATTCAGGGGGATAGCTTGAGGCTCTGTCTAGAAAAAGAAAAAAAATAGTTCTATGTCTTCACCAGAGACCCAGGTACCTTCCAGCTTTGGCTCTACCATCCTCTACTGCCCTTGTCCTCATGGCCCACTATTGCTGCCTAAATTCCATACATCACATCCTAGTTCCAAGTATTACAAAGGTGACCTGGTAGAAAAGAGGTTTGTCCCCTTTCTTTAGGAATTCCTCTCAAACTTACCACATGACACCTTTTCTTATATGAAATTGTATAAAACTTTATCACATGGTCCCATTTGACTCCAAGGAAGACTGAGCAATAGCCCTGCTGGACATATAGCAATCATAAAATACAATCAAGTTTGTTTTCTTTCTTTCATTTTCTTTTTTTCATTTTCCCACCCTCCCTTCCTTCCTTCCTTTTCTTTCTTTTTTTCCTGAGTAGAAAGGGAAGAATGGATGTTGGGATAGGAAGCCAGCAGTCTCTGCCTCCATCCCCCAGAATTAATCTTTTCTACCTCTCAACCCCCAAATTATGTTACCTACCCTCTTATGGGGAATATACCACTTTTGATGGGATATTACAGTGATTAGTGTTTACTGCTCCCTAAATCTTAAAGGACTTTCAGGGCAGGGACCTCATCTGACTTGTCTCTAGGTACCCGGCCCCTGAAAAAGTACCCATTGCTTAGGAAATACTCAAATGAATGAACTGAAACAGAATGTAAGAAACATGAATAGTTAGCCACCATTTTTTTTTTTTTAAAGTTTTTGGCCAGGTCTGGGTTTGAACCCATCACCTCTGGCATATGGGGCCAGCACCCTACTCCTTTGAGCTACAGGCACCACCGAGTTAGCCACCATTTAAAGACAAATCACCAGATCTATTTCCCTGCTTCAAAACCTTCACTGGCCTTTAGGATAAAAGTGAATTATCTTGACATTTGAGGCCTATCACAAACATATCCCATGAACCCTTGCCAGTGCTTGCTGCTATGCCCAGACAGCCAAGAATAGACATAGATTCAGGATATGGAATCAGAGATCTGGATGCAGATGCTGGCTCTGCCACTCTTGGCTGTGACCTTGGGCAAGTCATTTCATCTCTCTTAGGCCAATTTTCTCACCTATAAAAATGGGGGTCGGGAAAAAATGGAGATTAATAATAGTGCCCACCTTATACAGGTGCTATGAAGATTAAATGGAAATGATATGTAATGCCTTTAGTGCATGGCCTAGCACAGCAAATGCCTGATAAATGGTAGCTATGGTGATTATTGCTATTGGGAAGATGACCATGACAATGATGGTGACACTGTTGATGGTTAGTCTTGGATTTTAGCTTTTCTCTAGGCTGCTTCCTCTGCTGGTGCTCCTTTCTAATCCTTCACCATTTTCCTCTGATGGATTAATCAGGGTAGATTAACTGCTGTAACAAACAGCCCTGACATTTCAATGGCTTAATAGAAAAGTATATTTCTTGCTTATGTCACAGTGTCTCCTTGGTGGACTCTCCAGCAGCCAAAATGAAGGGTGAGGAAGGTGGGCCAGGCTGGAAGGGATGTTTCTCTCTTCTACCTACAGCCCATTGCCCAGAAATCAGTCACATGGATCCACCTAACTAGAAAGGATGCTGAGAAATGTAGCCTAGTTGTGTATTGTGTCAGTTAGAGGTAGAACAGACCACCCAAAACTTAGTGGGTTAAAACAGCTGCCACTTTGATCCAACATAGTAGCTCACGTTTATAATCCTAGCACTCTAGGAGGCCAAGGTGGGTCTATTGCCAGAGCTCAGGATTTCCAGAACAGCCTGAGCTAAAGCAAGACACCATCTCTACTAAAACTAGAAAAGCTAGGCCAGGCAGTATGGCTCACACCTGTAATCCTAGCACTCTGAGAGTCCTTGGAGGGTGGATAGCTTGAGCTCATGGGTTCAAGACCAGCCTGAGCAAAAAGTGAGACCCTGTCTGAACTAAAAATAGAAAAACTGAGGCAAGAGGATCACTTGAGCCCAAGAGTTGGGGGTCGCTGTGAGCTATGATGACACACCACTACCCAGGGTGACAGTTTGACACTCTGTCTCAAAAAAAAAAAAAGTAAATAAATAACTAAAAATAGAAATAGACAAACTAGCCAGGCATTGTGATGGGTGCCTATAGTTCCAGATACTTAGGAGGGTGAGACAAGAGGATCACTTGAGCCCAAGAGTTTGAGGTTTCTTTAAGCTAGGCTGATACCACAGCATTCTACCCAGGGCAATGGAGTGAGACTCTGTCTCAAAAAACAAAACAAAACAAAACAAAAAAACAAAGGAGTGAGACCCTTTCTCAACTAAAAATAGAAAAGTTAGTTGGGCATTGTGATAGATGCTTGTGGTCTCAGCTGCTCAGAAGGCTCAGGCAGGAGGATCGTGTGAACCCAAGAGTTTGAGGTTGCTGTCAGCTAGACTGATGCCACTGGACTCTAGCCTGGGGAACAGAGTGAGACTCTGTCTCAAAAACAAAAAACATGAAAAAATCAACCACCAGCAATTTGGGCTGGATCAGGTGGGCAGATCTTCTCTTGGTTTCAACTGGGGTCACCTATGTGGCTGCAGTCTTCTGGTGTCACACCTAGGGATGACTTCACTCACATGGCTGGCAGTTGATGCTGGCTGCTGGCTGGATTTCTTTCCCTGTGGTCTCTCATTTGCAAAGTAGATAATTTCAGCACCTTAATGCAACAGTCTTTGGGCAGTAGAGGATAAGAGCAGAGAAGCTACTAGTTCTTTTCAGGCCTAGGCTCCAGAATGCTTACAGTATCTTTTCTAGCAAATTATATTGATCAAAGCAAGTCACAATGCCTTCCCAGACTAGGGAGAGGCAAAGTGCCTTCTCTGTGGGAGGAATGGCAAAGTCAACTTGCAAAGGGCATGTCCAGGAATGGGAAGAATATTGTGGCCATCTTTGCAGACAAGCTACAATATGTGTCCAGGTGTGACAGCTGAAGTTGGGTAGACATACAACAGTATTCCACACCTCGTGAATTCCTACTACCAGAGCCTTCTCTAACCACCCATCTCTCTAGGCCAGTGGTTCTCAATCTTCCTAATGCTGCAACCCTTTAATATAGTTCCTGTGGGTTGTGACCCACAGGTTGAGAACCGCTGCTCTAGGCAGTTCCTCTCTCCCCTTCCTCTGGGCTTCTAGTATGCCCTTACTGCCCCCACTAGAGCATCTACCACTGAATCTTGACTGCAGCTCTTCTGGAGTAGGGAGCAGACTTCCTGCATATCTTGGACTCTAGCCCACAGGAAATGTTGGGTGTAATGAACTGAATGAGAAGGGAAAGAAAGGGATTGGGGGTCTAGATAAGAGAGGAACAGAGGGAGAAAGAAAAGATTTAATTGCAGCCCTCAACGAGTCTCCTATCCTGTTTCTGTCTAATGGTCCAGGGGCGGGGCAGGAAGTACAGACAGAGAATGTGACAGTAGCTGAGGGTGGCGTGGCTGAGATCACCTGCCGTCTGCACCAGTATGATGGGTCCATAGTTGTCATCCAGAATCCAGCCCGACAGACTCTCTTCTTCAATGGCACCCGTGGTGAGTTCTGGGGATAAGAAACCTGAGTCATGAAGAGAGGGCTGGGCCTGGACTCCTGTGTCCTGAAAGAAGAGGCAGCTGAAGAGTCTGTATTCTTGGGTCTGAGGAAGAAAGGGACTGGGGCCTGGAATCCTGGGGCTGCGGGCATGAGAACCTCAAGGAGTAAATAGTTGGACACCTCTGACACTTAGGTATGGCTAGAGAAGAGGCCAAGAGCTGTGCTCTAAGCTCCTGGAGGAAGGATGGGACTCTTGAAGTCAGGATTCCCCAAGTTCACGCCTACCTTTTGACTCTCTCTAGCACTGAAGGACGACCGATTTCAGCTTGAGGAGTTTTCCCCTCGCCGGGTGAGGATCCGGCTCTCAGATGCCCGCCTGGAGGACGAGGGGGGCTACTTCTGCCAGCTCTACACGGAGGACACCCACCACCAGATCGCCACTCTCACTGTACTAGGTAATGCCTTACCTCTCTTGGACCTATCCCCTGCTCCATTCTTCTATGCTTCCCGCTTCTCCTAAGACATTCTGCCTCTGGCTGATTTTAATATCCTGGACATCTGGCTCCAGTAAATACAGCCGGCCTTCCCACCCTCTGTCTTTGGCTTCTGCCACCTGGGACCCTCTTTGGTCTATAGGATCTTGGTTCTCTTTGGTCTCTGGGATCTGGCAGCCTGATTGCTTTGAACTGACCTCAGAGCCCATCTCAGCGCCTTCTTTAATTCTCTTATCCCTCCTCTCCCTACGGCAGTGGCCCCGGAGAATCCCGTAGTAGAGGTCCGGGAACAGGCGGTGGAGGGCGGCGAGGTGGAGCTCAACTGCCTGGTTCCGCGGTCCCGCCCAGCCGCCACCCTGCGCTGGTACCGAGACCGAAAAGAGCTCAAAGGTAACCCTGTAGGGATACCAGGGTAGGGTGGGGACGGGCCTTGAGAGGAGGCGGGGCTTATCTCAGGCTGGTTTCGTATGTGAGCGGAGTTTGGAGAAAAGCACATCATTTCCAACAGAACCTAGCCCTTAAATATGTAGCTACTGAATGAGCTATAGTTGAGAAAGCCTGGTAGTAGAAGAGGTAAGAGCTTTGGGAAGAGGCACGTGGGCTTGGTTTGGGGAGAGGTGTGGTTTGGTGTTCGAGGCAAGGCCAGTATGTGAGGGGCGTGGCTTACCTAATATCCTGCTTTGGGATTGGCTGAGGGAGTGGGCGGAGCCGGAATCGCTGCCTGACTATTGGCCGGGCGCGGCAGGAGTGAGCAGCGGCCAGGAAAGTGGCAAGGTTTGGAGTGTTGCTAGCACCGTGCGGTTTCGAGTGGACCGCAAGGACGACGGCGGTATTGTCATCTGCGAGGCACAGAACCAGGCACTACCCTCCGGACACAGCAAGCAGACGCAGTACGTGCTGGACGTGCAGTGTAAGTGCCCAGCTGGCTGGCACCTAGGGGGTCCCAACGCCCGCCGTCTGCCCCCGAGAGGGTCCCCATCCCCGTGTGATGACCCAGAAACCAGTCTCTCTTCTTGCTTTCCCCTACAGACTCCCCCACGGCCCGGATCCATGCCTCCCAGGCTGTGGTGAGGGAGGGAGACACGCTGGTGTTGACGTGTGCTGTCACAGGGAATCCCAGGTGAGCTATAGGGCCCGAGAGTCCTGGGTCCTGGAGAGACGAGAGCTGGGGATCTAGACACCAGATCTAGACTCCAGAGTCTCCAGGAGGGGCCTGGACTTCTGGGCCCCGAGGGAGGAGGGGTCTGGAGGTTTAGCCTCCTGAATCCTGAGGATGGAGGCTGTGCGCCCCGCGGATTCTGAGAGTGGAAGAAAGTGTTTGGAGAGGGCTAGGATTTCAGAGACTGGTGATGGGTGGAAACTGGGCCTGGTACTGTTGGTTTTCCAGGAAGGAAAACGGTGGTAGGGAGCCTCCTGTTTGGAGATCCCTGCAGGCCTAGATTACTGACTGACATGTCAAAATAGTGTTCTGGCACCTGAGTTCTAGGGACTCTCACTATATTTTACCCCCTCCCAGGCCAAACCAGATCCGCTGGAACCGTGGGAATGAGACTTTGCCGGAGAGGGCGGAGGCGGTGGGAGAGACGCTCACGCTGCCGGGTCTGGTCTCTGCGGATAACGGCACCTACACTTGCGAGGCGTCCAACAAGCATGGCCACGCGAGGGCGCTCTATGTACTCGTGGTCTATGGTGAGGGAGGGCCGGCCGCAGCGGATAGAGGGAGGGCTGGGGGCGGGCGTAGGCCAAGACACTACGTAATTTGGGAGTGAGGGGGTTAAACAGCCAACAGAGTTTTACAGTTCTGGAGCCAGAGTTCACCACCCGTTCAAATTCTGCTGGGCTGCCTTCTATGGCAGGTAACATAATCTGTCTGCACCTCAGTTTCGTCATTGGTGGAAATAAACAATAGCACCTGCCTCATAATTACATGAGCTAAATATGTAAAGCAGTTGGACTAGCCCCTCACGCCTAAGTGTTATATGTTTAGCTTTTATTACGGTGGGGCAGGAGTTTTTTTTTTTTTTTTTTTGAGACAGGCATTTTGTTGCCCTCGGTAGAGTACTGTGGCATCATAGCTCACAGCATCCTCAAACTCTTGGGCTCAAGTGATCCTCTTGCTTCAGCCTCCCAAGTATCTGGGACTACAGGGGCCCGCCACAACGCCCGGGTATGGGGCAGGAATTTTAGAAGTGATTTGGTCCTAGCCCAGCACTTTACCTGATACATTTTATACAAAGGTGGGCAAGGACTTTAGACCTGTTTCTTGGACTTGGACTTTTTCTTTAGTGGGAGAAAAACTGAATCAAAAGAAAAGGAATATGCTGCTTTTGTTCTTTGAGGTGCGGGGAGGAAGGTAAGGAGGGAGGGAGTGTGTTAGCAAAATGACTTGGGGAAGGATCAGGCAATATACAA